CGAGCTTATCTGTAAGTAGAAAAAAACATATCTGTTGCCAGGTGTGCACAAAGGCTAGGCAAGACACAGGAAAACACAGAGGGCGGGCCGCACAAAGACCCTTCCTACATCAGACAGCTCAGTGCAACTAGCCTGTGCGAGAAGTCAGCGAGTCTTGCATCGAGGTCTGAGTCAAGTCGAGGCCGCACAAGACCCGGATTTGAACCGCGGCCATCAAGAAGTGCACAGACAAGAGCACGTCGTTTCATGACTGATGTGTGTTGTGAAGTGACAACGGTGTGCTTATTGTTTACGATCCTCTATGCGTTGAATCAACCGTGTTGTGTTTAGAATAGACAAGTTGTGCTCCAAAATATAGACAATAAATGATAATAATTGTCTTCTTCTATAGTCGAAATTGTCAAAGACGCCCATCCGTAGTCGAGAAAAAAAGTGGTCGTCTGAGACAGGTGGACTTCATACACATTGTTAACAGTATTATTTTTCTGAACTCCTCACTTTTCACCCACCGGACCTCAGTGACTTTTGACCTTTCACCCAGAGCGACCCGGGCAGCATAGAAGAGGAGAGGAGACAAATTCCCCCCCCCCTCCTTTTCCCCCCCGATCCACCCACCGCCCGCCCCCCGTCCAGTATGAAGAGCCTGGTGTACGTCCACAAGAGGGGCAACGCCCCCTGCCTGCTGACCGCCCTCCTGTTGGTGGCTGCCGGGGCCTTCCTCACGCTCTTCTCGCTGGGCTTCAACACCGCCAGACACTCAGGTGGGGTCCTTTTGGAGAGGTTTGTTTCTGTTTTGTTTTGTTTTGTTATTGCGTTTTTTGCATGGTTTTTTTCGGTTTTGTTTTGTTTTTGTTTTTGTTTTTGTTTTTGTTTTTGTATTTGGTTTGATGTTGTTGTTGTTGTTGTTGTTGTTTGTTTGTTTGTTTATTGTTGTTGTTGTTGTTGTCTTGGGGGGGGGGGGTGGAGTTCCTCTGTCTTATTTTTTTAGGACGCTTGATGTTAGTTAAGTATACGAATTTAGGCTCTTATAACCTTATTACTTTATTTAAGGTGCGAGAACTCCAAATTTAAAGTCTGCCTCCTACATAACCCAGCCACTGACTCGAGATCATACACTCTCACACACTTGTGTATCATTTACGTACACTGTGTATAGCTTTCTATTGTGGACTTTTATAAATATAGAATTTCTAAAGTAGACCTTTATGTTATTGGACTTTTATATTACTAGACTTCCATATCAACTCTCCACCTAAGCCCACGTGGGACGCTCGCTGATAAAAACAATCAGGAAAAGACAAATGTAGTTTTTGGGCCAAGTGAATAGACATAGAGGTCTTAGACATCTAGCTCGCACTTGCAATATTGAAGGCAAACAAGCCAGAGGTAAGCCCAGAGCAACTTACTTTTTAAAGATACCTAAACAGGTGGGTAACGGAGAAAGATCAGGGTAACGTAGATTTTTTAAAAAGAGTATCCGAGCAAAGGAATGAATGGAAAACCATGATCGCCGAAGTCTGCCGCAGATCTGGTACTTGATGACGATGATCAGCTCTCCTCGACTATGGGTGGCGGTCTCAAATAATTTCGACTCTATTCCAGAACACACTCAGCGCCGGACACAGACAGACGATCTGACGTCATACTATGCGTCACACAAGGCGTACAGCGGCGGCGATGAAGTCAGAAAAAACCTGGTGGCCGAGTGCACCGAAGAGACGTGTCGGCCGCCCGCCTGCGTCTGTGCCAGGACCTCCCACCCGGGAAGTTTCCCGCTCCGCGAGGTTCCCATGATGGTCATGCTGTCCTTTGATGACCACGTCAACAACCTCAACTTCCACCACGTGCAGGTAATAATAAATGATGATAAGCAGTCTTTAAGTTGCCCATATCCATACTTAGCAGCAAGCTCTATGCGATATAAAAGGGCAATATATGTACATATATATATATATATATATATATATATTTTTTTTTTTTAAATTTTAAAAATATATATATAATATGTAGGTTGTCCTATATTGCCGAAGATGACGATGAATCCTGCTGCTCATCTGTGGACGCGCATGTGACTGTGCAATCCGATCCTGGATGAACAATGTCTGTTGCAGTGGGGACACTGGAATGTAGTGGTTATGGTGGTTTGCTTATGTCTCCTCTCTCTTCTGATAGTCAGCTTCTCCCTGTAGTTTGTATCGCTGTTTCTGCTGGCAATACGGACGGCCCTGCGCCTGGCGTTCCTTTCGAGGACAGTTCTTTCGAGTTCTTTGGGGGTTACTTATAGTGTGGATGATGAAGATGGTGATGAGCTGTAGGATGAACCTGTGCGTGACTTTGTTTAAAGTGAAGCTGTCGTTGCCCGGTGGCAGTCCCACTCTCTCGGCCTAGGAACTAGGAAGCCTTTACCCAGTGACACGGAGACCGTTACGTCTGGAGACAGCCAGGCTGCAGTGGATGGCCAGGACCTCTTTGGTGCCTTGTCAATGCCCTTATGCGCTCCACAGCACTTGCTGGTACCGCCTTCAAAACCATTGGATCTTCTGTTGATCTCATCCGCTTAATCCGCCGGAAACCAGTCTTCACATGCTAGGGTAGGCAAACCCTAAAGAAAAATCACCGAGGGTTAGGACCCGTCGGCTACCCTCACAAGGTCTAGCCTGCCAGTTGAAGCAGTTGCCCGTGGTATAGCCGCTGACGCATGCTAACAGCTTCGGGGAGCCACAAGTGAGAGTTGCGTGCCCGGTGGGATCCAAAGCGTGAGAGCCACTCGGAGGTGCGACTGCCCCCTGTCAGAAGTACTACCCCTCTCAGTACACGCCATATACATCACACTCAACACCCATTTCTATTGGATATAGATATGCGATATATATTGCTTATTTTGTGCAGGGCATATACTACACTCAACAGCAAGCTATATGCGCTTTACAATCTATATTTTGACATTTATTACCTCGGAAGACTCTTAAACACTCAGTTGCATTAAAGTACTCAACCCAACCCCGCAGCCCATACCTCGAATTAAAATAAGAACCACCAAAACCATCAAAAGCAAGCCCCCCCCCTTTTAAAAAAATGTTTCGTTGTTATATGAGTTTCACGGCAACAACACACTTAGTTCATATAAGTGCCGAAGGTTAGAGGTGTTAGAGAGAGTCATCATTCAGTGCCAGATCTGCGACAGACATCGGTGATCATAGTTCTCCATCCATTCCTCCGCTCGGATGTTCTTAAAAAAGCTACGTTTCCCTGATCTGTTCCCGTTACCCATTTGTTTAGGTTCCCTAAGCAGGTTGCTCTTGGCCTACCCCTACCTCGTTTGCCTTCGATTTTGCCAGTGATAACTAGATGTTCTAGACCTTTATGTCTATTCAGATGTCCCAAAAACTGCATTTGTCGTTTTCTGATTGTTTTTAACAATGAGCGTCCCACGTGGGCCTCATCAAGCACTACCTCATTTGATCTCTTTTCCTTCCATGATAGTCTCAGCAGTATCCTAAGAAACCACATATTTTCAGTTGCTTCTATTTTATTTTTACTGTCTTTAGTGATTGTCGAGCATTCACAGCCATATAAAAGGGTTGACCATACATAACATTTCAGAACTTTTATTTTGGTAGTCATTGAGATGTTTCTATTTTTCAGGATTGGGCTCATAGTACTGAAACTAGCCTTAGCCATCGCAATTCTCCGTTTTATTTCTGTGAAACATTTGGTATCAGATGTTATTATATACCCTAGATCTTTAAACTGTTGGACTTGTTTTATCTTTTTGTCTTTGCTAATGAGGTTATAAATAAGATTTGCTCCTTTTTTTGGATATTACCCTGTATTCTGTTTTCTTTACATTCAACATCGGTCCTTTACGTTACTTTCTGTTACAACAGTATCGAGGAGCGATTGAAGGTCCTTTTCTGAGTCTGCTATTAAAACTGTGTCATCGGCATATCTAATATTCTTAATATTCTCGTCTATTCACTTTGAGACCTGGACATTCTTCTATGTTTCAAAGGATTTCTTCACTGTATATCTTAAAGAGGTCTCTTTACATAACACGTCATCCTTGCCGCACTCCTCTTCTAATCTGCTTATATTCACTGTATTCTCCATTAATTCGTACAACAGCGTTTTGGTCCCAATACAAATTCTTGACAATTCTTAGATCTTTTCCATCTATGTCTAGCTTTGGGAGTATTTTAAATAGCTCATCATGCCTACCTTTATGGAACGCCTTTGAATAATCTATGAAGCACATGTATAGATCTTTCTGTGCTTCCATGCATCTTTCCATTAACATTGAATATAGCATTTTTGGTGTCCTTGTAAGTCAGGAATAAAGCCGAATTGTGTTTTTAGATGTCTTAGACTTTTTCTCAACCTTCCCATAAGTATTCGAAGCAATACTCTTGTATAATGTAAAATTTTGCTACAGAGCGTACCATATAAAACAGGCGAGATTACCATATAAAATAGGCGAGATTACGACAATAGTTGTTTGGATAACAAAGAAGGAGCAATAATTACACCAGAGCATCCGCCAACCACCAACGTAGATATCACTATAATAAGTAATAAACGACATTTTATAGCGCAAATTCCAAGCCCTATCATTATCTCTTCTCGATTTCTTTTTTTTTTTTTTTTTAACGGGTATATCTATTATTAAAAGTGAGGCAGATGAAAAGGCTTTAAGATTATATCATTATCTCCACCTCACCTCACCCTCTTCAATTCCCTCCGCCTCCTCCTCCTTCACTTCTTCGTCACCCATCTCACCTCCTCACTCACCCCCTCCCCTCCCCTCCCTCCACTCCCAGTCCCTCTTGGACCGTCGGTGGAAGAACCCCAACAAATGTCCAGCGACCTTCACCTTCTTCAGCTGTGACGTAGCCACTAACTACAGCTATGTGAGGAAACTGCACACATTAGGTGAGTCAGTGTGTGTGTGTGTGTGTGTGTGTATGTGTGTGTGTGTGTGTGTGTGTGTGTGTGTGTGTGTACGTGTGTATGTGTACGTATGTGAGTGTGTGCATGTGTGCGTGTGTGTGTGTGTGCATGATTGTGTACGTGCATGTCTACATCCTGAGTGATAAGAATCTTCGTTTTATTTAATGTGTTCGAGTTTAACGCCCCTATCAACACCATAAGGTTATTTCACAGACAGGACCTCCGAATCTAATGTGAGTCTCCGATAAAACCGTGTCAAATGGGCTGAAAGCCTTGAGAACTGAAAAAAGACGAAAACAAACACAACAACACCCCCCGCCCCC